TTGTTTTCTACATGTAGGTAACATATAATATTCACTGTCAAATACTGTCAGCATGCATGAGAAGCCGTGGAAATCCCTTGTGCGCAGGTGCCACGAGCAGTGTGTCATTGCCAGCCAATCCTGTCCCGTGATTTGCATCATGTGGTGGAATAGAATAGAATAGAATAGAATAGAATAGAATAGAATAGAATAGAAAAATACTTCATTTATCCCAGTCTGGGAAATTACTGTGGTACAGCAGCAAGAGAAAAACAGCAACATGCCGCTTAAAAAAATAGCCCAAGGCACAATGCGACTGATTTCTTGCAGATGGGTCACATATTTACTTCTAAAAACTCAACAAATAAATCATGAAGTTACTATGTTTTCACACATTAAAAACAAACCGATACAATTTGACTCAATTTGTGTAGATTTTCATACATTTTTGATTCAAAAACACCTGATTTCAACAGCTATGACACAATAAAAGAAATTAGGTAAAGTCTACTTAACATTTGTCGACACATTACACATACATAAGACACATATAAATGCTTTGAATGGGTCGTGTTTAAATCCTTTTTGACAGGAAATGCAAGAATTGAACTGACTGAAGCCTGCACAGCCAATTACAGGGTTGTGTTCACAGACCGAAGCTTATCATATGCATTTAAGTTACAAGACACACATGGTTAAATCCTACACTAAAACCTTGCACGCTCAATATCCCAACAAAAAAAATCCATCCATGTGCTGTTTGGAGTCGCTAGATTGTCGAAAAACTAAAATTAAAGATGGGTTTTTCAACTCCGGGTAAGTCATATCCACTCAGCTTTCCTGTCAGTTTAAGGAAAAAAAAAAATCAGGTACAGTACCTTTAGGAAATCTGAAAGTTTGAACTGGAATCTAGGGAATCTAGTTAAAAAAAAAAACGTTTAGCGCCCGAGTTGAAACCCCTGCTCCCCAAAAATAGCTGCTACGCTTTAAATATGTTTGTGCCAGCCACGATCTGCTGGGAGAGGAGTTTGCAGAGCCGAACACCGGTAATTACCCGGCGGCTGCTCACGGCGCTGTACAGTTTTCACTCAGACTTAAACATGGGTTATAGCTCATTGTTTGCATTCACAGTTATAAATGACAGTAAGAGCGGGTTTGAATTAGCGCTTTAAAAAATGAACACGGTAGTCGTTTCATTCAGAGCGCGAGCTAAAGTAGAAACCACACACAAAAAACACCACAATTTCTTTCATTTTTTACGATGTTAAGAAGTTGTCAGTTATTGAAAAGAATCATTTGAAATGCAGCAACGATTGGACTTCATTTTATCCGCCCCCTAAATTCAGCCCTTTTAGGTCAACCTTCAAAGAAATTTCTCAGACAAATTAGGATCCTTTACAAGTTAAACGGCACATGTATGAGCGAAATCAAAGTCGGCAAAATGTGTTGGTGGTGGGCGTACGACGCGGACCACCTTCACACCAGAGGCCACAATTTGCAGGCAAAGTAAGAAGATTAATAAGCGAGGCATAATATTTCCCGCATTTTGGCATAGTTTTAGCGACATGTACGCATAAGAAATGAAAGGAAGACTTTGATTTTTTGGTTGTTTTTCAGTCACTATTTGGACACCCGAGCGGACACGCGGGCAGATGATATGTTTGATTTTTGTCTAGATCACACAGTCATATGCACACAATTGCAAAAAAAAAATCCACATTCAGCTATCGCATATCTCCGTGCGGGGAGGAAAGTCAAAATCAGTCTTCCCATCCAAGTTATTTGACTCAGCTTCGCTCATCACAGAGCCTCCATTTACATCAGCTCATATATCTGCTTTGAGTGTCATCGAGCTGCGCTATGGAACGGCACTTTAAACCCCACCGGGAACGTTGCATGACTCCTTCCTACTTCCAGCTATGCTGACAATTCCAAAAAAGTCTAGCCTCATTTCACCCAGCTATAAGCCGCCCGTCCATTATTCCTCCTCATATTCAACCAGGCGAACGCTGGAATTCATTTGTTTTCAAACATGTTTTATTGTGTTTTACCTCCTCCTTTTTCTTCTTCTTCTTTTTTTTCTTTTACTTTATTTCATTCTCAGCAGCATGCGGTGGATAAGAGGCTCCCCCTCCTGTGCAACTTAATGTGTTTAAAATGTGACACATTTATTACAATGCTCAGAAGAAACACTCCTGCGTTCCTGCTCACCTTTGCTGCGTCTTCGTCCTCTGTGCTGCTCTGTGTAGAACTTCATTTGGTTGTCGTCCTCGGGCTCTGACCCCGATTCTCCTTGAGGACCAAACACACCTCCGGTTGCTGAAAAACAGAAAAACACAAATTAGAATAAATCATTCAGCGGTCATAGCGTTTTTGGATTGCGTGGCTTTTCATGGTGGCGTGAGTGAAAACCCTTACAAACTGTTTTTTGGGTTGCTGTGCATACAAAAAACCGACATAGTTTATTTACAACACAGTCATTTGAGGTAATGAAATTATAATCCAAATTAGCAAATACAATATTCCACCCATCTCCGTCCTTTCCCCTGTTTGATCTGTTGGTAATTTGTCCATTGTTCGAAAGTCTGCCGAGCTCTAATTTCTCATCATATTGGGTCACATCCCCGGAGTGTGTGCGTGTCTGCATCCGAATCCGAGTGACAGCGAGAGCAAAGCCTGCGAGAGTTAAGAGGCTTTGTTGGTACTGCCTTGGCATTGCAACATCAAAACACACATCCCTGCTAAATACACAGCGGCTGCCACAAAGCGATAATTGTCAGGGATTTGCAAAGTATTAAGCCATTGAAGGATAAATAAGTAATCTAAAACAACCTAAAATATGCGTAGATGGCTTCAAACTGCATTCCAAATTGATGAAAAAAAAAAAAAAACACACAAACGCCCAGGAGAGAGTTTATATTAAATATGTTTATTACTGTAACACGTAACTGATTCTTCAGGTGTGACTCAGGCTTAGTCAAAAAAATTAACTTATGCTAATAAGAGCTATCTAATTTCCTCATGGTTATACATGTGTTTTGCTTGTAGAACCCACAGGATCACAGTGATTACACTTCCTAATCTCCGAGAGTGGAGGGGGAATAAAGGACAGAAAGAAAATCAATGCTTTTCTTGTGGCTATGAAGGAGCATCTGAGGAGAAATGCTTCACCTGTTGACTGCAAATTAAAACAGCGAGGGAACAGTACAATTAGGTCAGTGTGTTACGTCAATACTCTGGTTCGCGGGATATGTGAGGACAGTTGGTAGCGGCTCACAAACATTTAGTATCCCACGAGAGGAAAATAAAGAGAGAATACAGGGATGCAGATTTTAACATATGGTTGAACGTCTAAGTCCTGTAAGTTATAAAAGAAAACAAAACAAAACATGGTGATTGTGTCTCCTATGGTACATGAATATACAAATGCAATGCAACGGAGATAAAGGGCACAGCAAAAAGAAGAGTTTGGGTGTTGGTGGAATTGAATGAATGAATGAATGAATGAATGAATGAATGAATGAATGAATGAATGAATGAATGAAAAATATTTTATTTATCCCAGAAGGGAAATTCAATGATCAATTCAATCTGAGCAAGAGTAGAGTTAGTTTTACCCCAGATAGAGTCAAACCCCTTCTATTTAACTCTGAGTTGACAAGTAGTTGGTGTCAAAACAGAGTCAAAGCCAAGTGTCTTTGGATCAAATCTACAAGTGTTATTGTTGTAACATTAACCCCGAACGTTTCTCTCTGAACTCTAAACCTGGCCAAGACTCTACCAGGGTAACTCAACTCCGCTTCCTTCGTCTCACGAACTGAATATCTCGACCGAAGCAGAACCGAAGGAGTCTGAAAACTGTGTTTGGGCTTGTTAAAGCTTGCTTTTTCTTTGCATTTTTTGGTACATGAACTAAATTATGTTTATTATGTTTTGATAATGGGCACCTGGTGTTTTTGGCATGACAAGTCATGTTCACACTGTCACATGACCACTGATAAAACTCCTCATTTCACAGCAAACACCGAAGCTATGAGAAAGTTTTACAAGATCGTTTTCCTTCTGAGCTGTTCAAAAGCCAAAGTAACACTAACTAAGTAGTGTTTTGGTTGTGGGCTGTTAGCAATAAGTTAGCCTTAGCACTAGCTAACATCGAACAGTCATGCTAACTGTAGCCTTACAGCACAATGTTATTGTACAACAGGGATCTCCAACTCCAGTCCTGGTGAGCTACCGTCCTGCAGGTTTTAGACGTTTCCGTACTGCAACACACCTGACTCACATTAATGGATCTCCAGCAGCTTGTTGTGAAGTTCTACACAAGTCTGTTAATGATCCATTAATTTGTGTGTTACAGTACGGAAATGTCTAAAACCTGCAGGACAGCTCACGAGGACCGGAGTTGGAGATCCCTGTTGTACAATATCAACATTATTTTGTACAAGTAGCTGCATGGGGAACATGAGGTGTACCCCCGGGAATTTTAACACCAAGTATAATTACAAAAGTGTCATTTTTGCAAACTTTTCAGTAATTTCTAGTCATTCAGAAGAGCTGTTACACTTTACAGTGTTATTGTTGGTGTAACACTGATTTAGAGTTGATAAAAAGTGCCTTGAGAGAGTTGATGTTTAACACTTGTTTAGTTCACGTAATTAGTGTTACGATACCACCAGCCCCCCCAGAAGAGTTAAATTAACACTTTGTGGTGTGAAACCATATAAACACTTCAAAGGTGTTGGAATCAATTCTGACAGTTAATTTGGGTATGATGATTTTGATGTGGTTGCAAGGTGGGGCAGCGGTTAGCACCTTTGCCTCGCAGCAAGAAGGTCGCTGGTTTGCATCCTGGTGAGGACACCTGGGATCTTTTTGCGTGGAGTTTGCATGTTCTCCCCGTGCAGCGTGGGTTCTCTCCAGGTTCTCCGGCTTCCTCCCAAAAACATGTTGAGATTAATTGGTGATTCTAAATTGTCCGTAGGTGTGAATGTGAGTGTGCTTGGTTGTCACTCATATGGTGAAATTTTGTACTTTCTGATGACGGCTGCACTCATCAGCGGGCCTGCGTGCAATATGTGGTAGGACGACCAACATGAGCCTATAATTAAACATCTTCTGAAGTCATTAAATCATCGTAAACATGGTTGTAACACTTGCAAATATACTAAATTAATAAATGGATCAGTAGCCCTGTGATAGACTGGTGTCCTGTCCAGGGTGTCCCCTGCCTTCACCCTAAGTCAGCTGGGATAGACTCCAGCCCCCCCGTGACCATAGTGAGGATTAAGCGCTGTATAGCTAATGGATGGATGGATTTTGCTGTGGCGGGGTTGCTCGGTGTAAAAATAAGTTTCAGCCACTCGGCCACGTGCGGTGATGAATTTCTTTATGCAAGATTCAAGTCAGGCGAGAGCTCATTTGTGAAGCCCTTACAAAAGAGTTACCACAAGCTGACAACAGATGGATACGGAACATCCAAGCGATTGATCAACGCGGGGATACAGCACTGTGTGTGGAGGAGAGCTCAGTTTGTCTGTTTTCTCTGAGTGTAGAAATCAAGACAGCCTTTAAAAAATTAACAATACAAGTTCAATAACTTATCGACTATCAATATAGATCAACAGGTTTTGTTCTAGTCGAGCCACGCTTGGGCGCTCTTGAGCAAAATGTAGACGGGAGGGTTGATTTGTCTCCAAGGCGAGCCTGCACTGAGTCACGATATTGTACAGAAGAGAACATGAAGAAATCTGAATATTTTCAAGGTCAAAAGTGGAAATAAAAAAAACTTTTTTGAAATGTTTCTCAGCTGGTAAAGTCACACAAAAAGGCAAATAAATAAACAACAGGAGCGTGAGCAGTAGTTTGGAACTCCCTTAAAATACAGGAAGGCACACCAGAGGGATGCACCGTCAGCCTCTTTTTATCACCTGGAAATCTGTTCTTTTCTTATAAAAGTCGTGGCATCCTTATTAAAACTAGTTTATTGCCAATGATGGGGCAACATATTCGTGCTTCCGTGTTCACTGGACACAGTCATAACTCCTGGGCATAATGCAGAGCAACGCCAGGTGAAATACCCTCTTTTACTCACTTCATAAACATTATGTCATAGCTCATGAAAATTTGCCCGCACCATAAAGAATTTAGACATGATTAAAAGTTCTATTAAGTCTGTGTAGAAAGCTGTAGTCATTATTTTGGTCTGGTGCACTTAAACAGGTCCGGAGTCGAGTTGGATTTCGAGTGCGAGAGTCTGGCGGGTGTTTGGAGAGCGGAGTCAAACCAATGTGGTGTAAAATTGGTTCTGAATTTATGCATCACGTTAGAACATGCCCAGAGAGGTGGTGGATGGAGAAGAGACGGAGTGAGGAGGAGAGAATGCAAGGGTGGCTTCACGGTTCAGCCTGCTAGTGGTTCACTTTGTTGAGAATAGGTGATGCTTTGTACGGCTAATGAAGAACAGGTTTAATGTGAGGACAAAACAAATGTGTGATATCTCATTGAAAAACATATTATTTTCACCAATAATGCTGTGAAAATGGGAGATCTTTCCGCTTTTTAGGGGATGTTGTTCAATCTCGTCGCCCTGACAACCAAGAAAAAAACTTCATGATTAACATTTACATGAGTGGATTTTAAAATTATGACGTCTTCCTTAAGCCTTAATGGGGCAAGTGACCATATTTGGTAACTTCCTTGGATGTTCAATATGTCCACCCTGTGCCTCTCCTTGAGGCTGAAGAGCCATGTGCACTTTGATTTAGTTTTTATATTAGTGCCAATATCCCTACTGTTATAATTAAGTATGATTCAAGCTATTATGTGTTCTGAGCCTGTATTTTTCCATGAAGCCTATGGTTCTTATAATTAATTAAGTTTCAAGTTATTATGTATTCTGAGTTTGTATTTTGTACTGAGCTTATGTCCTTGAAGATAATGTGGCCAGTGAGAACCGGTTTGCACACCTGGAGATAGTGGAAACTCCTCTTTTCTCTTAGATACGATTGTTACTTTAGCGACACGCCGTACCAACAACATCCGCACACATTGCTTACCAAATGTCAAGGACGTGGACAGAGCACAGAAGGATGCGTGTCCACACCATTAGCCAAATTGGCCAATTAAATCTTATCTATGTTCGGGGCAGGCCCAGCCCAAGAAGATATCTGTAACCTGGAACCGAAAAACCTCAGTTCAGCTGGACATGAGAGCACTCTCTGTCTGCCAGAATCCAGCGCTGTAAAACTTTACCTGTGACCTGAATAAACTGTTTAACCTGAGACCTGAACTTTTCTCCGACTATTCCTTGGAGCTGTTTC